CTCTTCATCACAGTCGTCTGCGAAAGGAATGGACTAGCAACTCTCGAGTCAAAGAGAGCAATTCCGTTCCGTAACAACATGCCTAGTGCAGTAATCTGAAAGGAAACAGGGAAAAATGTTTCCATGTGATGAAATAAAGCAAGTAATGCGAAATCGAAATGCGATCGACCCGGGATAGATGGCTTGGTTTACAGGGGCCACCGTTGGACGGTGGCTGTCGGTGAGTGATAACCACTGGAACTTAAAATACTGATCGATGACCCTCCAAACATCCAAAAAATAGTGCGTGATCGAAGTAATCCGTCGGATAACTGAATACTGATGGATCAGCTACGTTTGCGGACTATGGATAATTTAGTCGACTTTTCTAGGGGAATAACGTGAATTGCAACCCTAAAATAGCGGCTTCAGACAACCTGACCGTAAGCTTAGCAAGCTCTACGTGAATACACAACTGCCTGTTGCTGCCTGTGTTGTTGTTCGCCTCTCAGTGATTTGACCTTGTTTCTCATCTGGTTATATCCATGCACCACCAGTTGAATGAAGAGTTAGTTCTTTACTCAGCAATATCGGTATATATCGACTCTCTCCTTCGTCTGAACAAATTCCTTCTCTGTCACTCATCGAGCTTCTGAATTTCAGAAAATATCTTTAAGCTCGGCTAAACATAAACTTATTTGGCAATTACCTTGCAGAAGCAAGGTTGTGCACCGTTTACCTATGGATCCGTTCGATTTTTCTTCCGATGATGATCGTCTGATTTATCCACTGTTCGATGTGCGAATCCGTCTTGCTGGTCTCTGTCATGCCGTCTAGCACCTACTGTAGTCAACCACACGATGACGTTTGATCGCTGTCCATAAACGCATCAACCGATCTGGAACTTGACGTATGCTCGTTTTTCGCGTTATTCGGCTTAACGACGTGTCTAACGCGATCGATAGAACTACGCTGTCTGCGAGGATCGATATCCGTCGATCGAATGGCTGAAGTTCTTAAGTTTTCCAGCGAACTGCTGTACCGTTCATATTTTATTTGCCGCTCGAAAGCAAGCAGTCGCCATCAGTGCTGTTGGTCCCAAGTTCAACGATCGAAATCAGATCAACCGAAGGCTGCTTCATGGCCAAGAGCGAAAAGCGAATCGAAGCGACTGGTTGACTACTGTAATAATGGAGTTAGCGGTTGAGTACACGATGCCCGTTACGACAGAATAGTAATCCCTCGATGTACAAGCTTAACTTTTCGTTGAAAACTGTTTGTACGTTGACCGCTTACCCGTTACTTCCAATCCTATAAATTTTACTTCGTTCCAGAGATCAAGTTTGTCCTTAATCTTACTAAGTTTGCCTTAATGTACTAAGTACGAAAATAATGACAGAAGATGAGTTGCTGTATTTAAATTACATTCTTATTCATTAGCCTATACACAAACAGTAACTCATAACTCCTCCAAAGCGACATTTCACGGCGTATTCCACATCCCCCTTGCCGCTAGTGGCCTTACAGCCATAGCCACATTACATCTGAACACCTGCTCGCCAGATATAACACCAATAAATGTTTATAATATTAAAAAGTAGTCTTCAATTTCTTTAGAAAACTGCGAAGTTGGTTGCATTGGTGAAGTTGTTCATGTTTTGATCGGTGGGTATGTCATCGGCATCAGAATCACAAAAAAGCGAAATTTAGGCATCAGCGTCGATCCGTGAAGGTTTTGCACCCAACTGGATAGTTGAGGTTTTAGCTGATTTCGGATGAAAAATTTCTACTTAACGTCTGTCGTTTTCGTCCCTTGAAATTACTGGCAAATGACGAGAATTTTATCCCTTCTCCATATTCTAGTTAATTTTTTTTCCTCATTTCCTTTTTTTTTCTCCTCCGTAAGTTAAGATAATTTCGCTACTTCGTACGTTTTGAAATCCGTTACATTCATTGGATGTCGAGAATTTGCTGCTGCACTTTCGCGGCGAAACATCACTTCCTCTCATTTTGTTGTTCAACAGTATCAGATTTACATACCGATGAAGTTCAGTTGTTTCGATCGATATTTATAGTTCGAAACTTTCGTCCTTTAGATAATAATTCGTTCAGAAACAACGCCAGAGAAATCGAGTTCAGCGAGGTTCCATCAGCAACGTGAACAGTTCCCCATATCAATTTCGTTACGGGCACGTAACACCCGTGGCATTTCCTTCCCAAATCAATTCTTACCGTAATACTAATAGTTAATGTTAGTTAGATATCTAGTTAATGTTGATTATCTACTTAATTTATATCTGGTTATTTATATTCAGTTTCTACGCAATCATCCACATCCAACGAGCGCAACAATGAGAATCTAAACAAGTCTGTAGTAATGAAGGAAAAGCTAAGCAATAACGCGAAGCCACCTGTTTTTAAGTCTGTCTGCCATGCCAATCTACCGTCATCTCTTATCGACATGGATGCTGGATATGGACCGAAAAAATGTTATACCAGACTCAAAGGGCTGAATTGGACGTACGTCTGAAAAATGGTTGTAGGATGAGGAACGACAAGCTTCGCTACGTTGCAGTTCCTCGCCGTATACCATCGTTTATGAGCTCGCTCCTTCTTCAGATGAAGAGAATGGAATTGCAGTGGTTTGGACAAGTGATGATAACATGGGCAGTCAGTTGCAAGGCGGTAGCGGTCTCTTTTATTGAGGCTGCATAAAAGACAGCTCAAAGCAAGCCGCGGACCGCATTAGTTGATTATCAGTCAATCATCTTTATTTCTTGTAGCCGTACTGTAATCATATAGATTTCTTTTTCAGTACAGATTATCCGAACATTCATTTTTAACTTTACAACGGCGAATAAACATTGTCGCCTAGAACGCGGAACTACGAGTGGAGTCTTGTAGTATATGGGAATTTACTATTCTGATATGTAGGTCGGAGTTGCTCACTCGAATTCAGAGCCAAGAGGCCCCGGATCCGAATCGAGGTCAGATCACTCGCCTTTCTTCCTTGCTAGGTTGATAAATGAATACCTCTTTATGGAATTGAGACAGGATGTTTATTGCCACAGCAGGCTTTAAAACAATGCAATCCCGTCTGGATGGCACTCAAATTGAGATCAGCGCCCCACCATTAACTAACACTGATTGAGTATTTGGTTTTTACGTTTGCATTCCATTCATACTAAAAGGATCACAAAACATGCTTATCCACACCGTGTGTTTATTTGGTCCTTCTTGTCATCTGCGGCAGTTCTTTCTTTTGCAGTCAGAAGGTGAGCTTTTCATCCGTTTTGCCGGTTAGGTATTTTTCTGGCCCGAAAGCTCATCCCCCGCTAGAGACGACTGGACCTTGCGAAACTCACCCATCTTTTTACCTTGAATATGGCATGTGACACGGACCCACACGTTGCTACTGGTCATTCAATTACGAATGACTAAATTGTTTGCGTTGTGTATGAAGCGTTGTTTGCGTGGTTTTCGGAACTGAACAGTGATGCGTTGGAATGCAGCTTGCGGAGCTAAGGGGCGTAGTGGATTACGGAGAGAGCTCGAAAAACTTTCTGAAACAGCTGCCTCTGAAATCCTTAAGGAATGAGAGGCGTTTTGAGAACTAATAGCTCACAGTAATTCATATACGTATATTTTAGATAGTTATTGTGTAAACTGGTAGATATCGACTTGATCTCGTGTACAAAAGAATGTTATACTGTTTTCAGCGTCTTTACTGTTTTATTGTACAGTACTTTGTATGCAAACTAGTATCATCGTTAAAACATGTAGTATCAGACTTTAAGGCAATTAAGATTCTTGCAAAATGAGATATGTTATTATTAATATTTTTCACGCATTATGCCCAGATTAGAAAAACGACGGAGGACTTGTGGGGTTCGCTGATGATGCTGACATGATGCGTCGATCCGTGACCCCCTGGTTGATCTAGTGTTTTTGGTTCGTTCCCCTTTTTGGAGATTCTTTCCGAAAAGCAGCGACACACTCGTCGGCCCAGTTTCTGTTGTTTCATTAAACCGACACTGAAGTTGTCAATATTAAGCTATTTCGACTATTTCGATTGTAAAATCGATGGCAGAGATATTAAAACTGCTTGCTGCGCTGTTTTATGGTAGATGAGAATCTACCGATCGGTGGCACTCAAAGTTTTTACAAATCCAAATAACGGCAATAACAAAAGTATGGTTTTTTGAAGCCAGGGCAAAGAACGATGGAAAATATTCACCTTAGCTATGAAGAAGTGTTGGACCTTGAAACGGTCGACAAACGAAGCAGATCGGGGTAATCAAAGTTTGCACATTATGTCGATGTGAATCTGCCAGGGATGCAACACTCTGACTTTTGGCCTGTACGGAAGCACTGAATGCCATCGTCTGCATTGATCCGTAAAGAAAGTCAGATGAAATCTCTTCGCCTGAACGGCAGAATACTACTCATAGCCAAGACGTTGAACAGGTTGACCATTACAAATGTCTGAACTGCATAGTAGGAATGACGGATACCGCGACACGGATGTGAACCGAAGAATTAGCTTAGCAACGGCCGCATTCGGAAGCCTAGTGAAGATCATTTCATCGGAGCATCCAGTTGGCGATGAAAATGAAGATTTTCATGATTATTCTTCGTCTGTCTTCCCGATCG